GTCGGTGCGTTGACTATTCGTCTTGGCTGCTTTCTGCCGACAAAGCCCCTGGACCACACTGAAGGAGTTGGGCTGATGTCGCAATTACTTGATTCAGGAAAACCTGCTCGCTGCAAGTGATGAACAGGGGGATTTATTTGTTTTCAGAAGGTGGGGGACTCTAGCAAAGTTAGAAGATGTCACGGCATTTTGATCTATAGCGCCTCCAATATTTATATTATACCCTCGTCGAAGCCAGCAGCAATAAATTTCTACATTACTCAGGTTGACCGGCCATAAAAAAAAATAATTTTCTCCGTTCAGGATTTGAAGCAAAGTTCACTGCAGAGGGATTCTGCGTGAATCTTCGACGAAGACTCTCTTCAGTTTGTCTCCGTGCTGCCGGCTAGAACCATTTGGCTAAGTTTAAGTAGTATCTGTCTGCAAATATACTATTATTCAGCAGTTCACCTAATAGTTAGTCAACTAAGCTCATATTTCAACCCGAAGAATATACTAATATCGCTTTAGTGGGACCATAGTACGTAATATAATACATAGCCCGCTCGTTAAAATGACTTCTCGATTGCTACTGAAACCTGAATTGAAATACGAGTATCAGCTGTTTATGACCATGTTAACCCGGCGGGTTAACATGGTCCTTGGCTTAAGAAGCGCTTGCTTAATTTTCGTAATTTTCCTGCAGCCTGTGTTGTTGACCGAGCAGACGACTCGAGCTGTTTCTTAAACGCAGATACGCACAAAAGCTCGATTGCGCGGACAGATAAGTCGCATGGTCGAGGCATGCGAATCAGCTGAAAATACCGGAGAAAAAAAATATCGAACGCAGAGTCTTTTTAGTGTTGCGTCGTTTACCCACAGTCTCAGTTTTTTTTTTTTTTTTTTCAATTTTGCGCATCGAACGCAAGCGTTGCTATTGTCGCAGCCTCCCTTCTCCTGGCTGCTGAACTGTTTCTGCCGACATTCGGACAGGGAGCTGCAACGGAACTGACGTCTGCCGTATCTATACCTCAGCAGCTCTCACACCACCGGAATCGTGGCAATCAGCGGAATGACGATACGAGTGTGACGTCGTTCGGTGGAAATCGAAGGACCATAAGTGAAGACACAATGTTAAGCACGCCAGTCGGACGCATTTCAGCCGCAAGAAATACTCAGGGTGTTAATCCCCTGTGCTTCTTATTCTGAAAATTAAACCGAGTCTTCTTGAGGAGGCAACCGCTATATGTTATATTTCTCATTGGGCTCCACAACCCGCTTTTGCACTGTTGAGGGTAAAAAAAAAAACTACGTAGACATCATCTCATCCTTTTCATCGTAAAGGAACATGTACCCAGCGCATGTTCAGAAGCTGTGAGCTACACAAGCAAAATTTAATAAATTATATGACAACGTATGTCGACGAACTGGAGTAATATTAGTGTAGCTGCGCACGTTTCTACGCGGCAGCGCTGCCCGTAAATATACCGCACCCTCGATTCCCCACCCCCTCCTCCCCCCCCCCCCCCCCCCAAACACACACACACACACAGATACCAAATCAGAGGCCGCGAACTCAGCGCACGAGAGATGTCATCTGCCGGTGGATGATTGAGTACTAAGGACAAGCGCAATCAGAGGCCGCAATAGCTCTCTCACAATTTGTAAATTGTTGACAAGTTCTTACCAACAGACTGCCCGATCGTTGACTCGCGAGCGGGTCAATATTATTTGTTGATAGCCCTCGCACCAAGAAAGCCTAGACGCCACGTCCAAACAGCAGCTGAGAAAGATCCTGCTCTCTCCATAAAGCAAATTCGGACATCTCCGGCGTCGGCACTGAGCTTTTTGGTGTCAACTCGGGCGCCGTTATGGACTGTGCCGCGAGCCAAAAAGCGCATTTTTTACTTAAAATCGCTGGCGCCTTGGCGCAATAAAATTCTGCTTCAATGCAATGCTGTTTACTCGTGGCCTTTCGGAATTGCACCTCGCTCTGACACCAAATCTGTTTTAACGTGATCTTTCACACTGTAGCTCGATATTACAGGCGCACTAATAACCTCAGCAAAACAACCCTCTATCTCGTTAACGATTTGACCGTTTTCAGCGGGATTTGATAATGCTTAACTTGAAAGAATCTTGTAAAACGGATAGCGTATGAGTGTACATAATCTCACACCTTCAATAGCGATGCACGCAGTTCCTCAATTGGCGTCTTGGCGACTCCAGTAAAAGCCTTCTTTGACGCATTCTTCTGAAATACTATGTTGTGGCCGCCATTTGCTTTGGAGGGTTCGGGCGGAGAACAATACACATCCGCAAATTCAACACTGAAACCGCGGCCTCTGAAACTGAAACAACACAGAGCAGCAGCGAAATAGACAAAACAGATAGAGTGCCTTGCGAGTTCACCTCCTGTTTTTTTTTTTTTTTTGTTTTTTTTTTGTCTTGCTTGTTTGCGATGTAAAATTTCACCAGCTAGTCTGTATGTTTTAAATGCCTGAGCATTTAGTGCCCTCGTGAATGCAGCAGTCTTTCGTTTGGACGGTCGAGGTTTGGACTGGACTTGACTGATTTCGTTAGGCCCATGAGCCGTTCCCGCCGTGCTTTTTCGGTCCGTTCGTTCGCTCGTTAAATCTAGTTTTCCTCTTGCAAGAGGAAAATGGTCTTCTGGCACGCTTCCAATGACGCGCCGCGACCGCGAGAGGAGGGTATCGAGCGGCCGCAGCGGTGGCACAACATACGCGACAACGTAAAAGCGAGGCACCACGACGATGCCAATTTGTACGAAACCGCGGACACTCGGGAGGAGGGATTGCCTCTTTGTAGACACCCGAGATCAGTGCCAAGCCCTTTTGAGTGCCGAGACACGACCGGAACCCCATCTGCGCCGGGGGGAACGCTCCCGTCATTTCAAGGTACCAGTTGATTCGGGACACGGCCATCCACTTTATGACTTTACACGTACAGGACGTCAGTGACATGTGCAATAGTTGCTCAACGTGCCCTTATCCTTGCCAGGTTTTGGTATGGGAATGACTAGAGAGTATTTACAGGGATCGGGTGACTTGCCTGTGACCCCCCCATGGTTCACAGCTCGAACAGTTCGAGTTTGGTAATATCTGGGAGATTCTTCAGCATAGCCATTGTGACGCGATCTCGTGCTGGTGCAGTGCGGGTCCCACTCGAGCTCGCCCAGCCTGAATGCCCGGTTCATGCCACCGTCCGGTGCCAGTTTCTCAATGCAGTACAGTGCTGGAGTGCCACTCGCACTGTCTGGCTGGTGCGCGCTAGCCCACTCGGCCACCGATCTTCCGTTCAAATAGACATACCCCTTTGGAAAGTCACGTCCCAATTATTAGAAGGTCGGAACCACTGTACAATGATGGAACAACTAACAATGTGAAACGCGCAAGTCATTCCATAACATAGCGAACGTCAGAGCGCGTCCAACGCTAGGAACCGAGGAGCAAATCAAGTCGCGTCGAGAGTGCAATGTCACTGCGCCCATCACCTTTTTTTGTGGGTGTAATTTTGCTTTCTGCTTTCTAATCCAACCAAACGCATAAGGTGTACCGCGACGTTGCAATTTTAGTCCGCTGTTGTGGAGGGATTTCACAGCTGCCAACAGAAGGCAGTCTTTCGAAAGGTGTCTGTGGGGGCACTGGGGTGAAAAGAAGGAAGCGGAAGCCAGCTGAACGCACAAACGCGTTTTTTTTTTATCGTCAGTGAGCAATCCGGACCAGTGGCACACACCATGTCTTCGATGGACAGAGTGCTCACGCTGCTCGGTTACAAGCTCGACCACAAGCTAAAAGACTTCAAGGCCCACTTTCGCGAAGACCGCCGTCCGGCCAACAACGGCGCCAACCCACCTACCAAAGGGTTGCAGCTGGACTCCGTGCGTCGCCGGAAATTCGGCCGGCTCATCTGCAACCTGGGCACACATGAAATCCTCGGCAGACGCTCGAGACTGGCTTGCAGGAAGTCAGCAGCCAATGGCGGCCCCGCGAAGACCACAATTACCAGGACCGCTGCTAGGCCTAAGGCTCTTCACCATCTTCACCATACCATCATCATAATCATCTATCACATCATCCATCACATCATCACCATCATCATCGACACAATGTGCCCTTTCCGAAAGTCAGCCTACCCACCATTCGAAGAGCCAAACCCGACACTGTCTAATGGCGGTACTACACTCTTCTCCACACTCAAATCATAGTGAACTCTCTAATGGCGGTACTACACGCTTCTCCACACCATCAGAATTGGACGTCTTCGAAAGCATAGAGCAGAAAAGAAAAAAATATATTGGTCCTTTTACGTCACCTTCGATTCACAAAATCGAGGGTGCTTGATTTAGCCAGGCATGATCTTCTATCACCGCCATCAGAGCGGCAATATTGGAGTTTTTTGGGCTGCCGGCACGTCAGTGACTGTTGAAAAGGGTCTATTCGCCTGTACAATACCGTTTCATTATCGTTAGAAGCGGCGCCGCAGGTCTTCACGGTATAGCCGACTTGACTTTCTGCGGCGCCGCGGCTCTCCTGAGCACAAATAAATATCAGTATCTATATCAATAAAGGTTTCTAAAAGGTCATGGATTAAGCTTCCTGGATTGACCACACCCATAAGTCAATGCCGTCACGTGCAATCTACATATGCGTTCTTCCGGTTTTCTCGGATCCGATGGAATCCAATCCTCCCGGCCGATGTTCGGAGCCATGTCTCGAGCCCCCGCCGCGCGCACCGGCCTCCGGGCGGCGGCATCGAAGCCTATCCAGCCCACCGGACCCCGTACGAGTGATGTGCTCAGCCCGCGACGGCCAGACCCAGCGTTGCCGCATCCGCCCCGCAAGTAACCCGAAGTCCGCGACGGCCAGGAGGAGGAACAGGACCACACCCGGGAGGGGGTCCCGTGTCTCCCAAGGCCGCGGTGGTACGCTGCCGCGGCACGGGACGAGGTCGGCGGGCCTGCAGCCGGCACCGTCCCGTCCCCGCAGTCCCACAAAGGCATGGCGAAGAAGTTGACCGCCTTCTCCACCGCCGGCAGCAACGTGGCTGGAGGGGGCTACTACCACCTGCCCATCACCGACATCGTCATCACCAAGAGGGACGGCCAAAAGGTAAGACATCCCCGTTCGCACAGATGCGTTTGCTTACGACCGAGTTCTTGTGAACTCTTACGACAAGATAAAACACTGACAGGCTGGCGCCATCTAGGGGGTGACCCTGGAACTGCATTTTATTAGAAAAAAGGTTTTGGTGTATTTGTGAAATGACATGTACGCACAATCTATAGGACCTTTGCCGTTTACAACATTTTGAAAAGGTTTTTTTCCAAGCAAATAGGGAAAAAATTATATTCGAAAAAATTAGGAGTGGAGTGAAACGGATGTGTGTTTTTTTTTTAATATTTTGACGGTTAGACTTTGGAAGGGCCAAGCTAGAAAACGTAGGGAATTGCCGTGCTTTTCACGGGCACCCGAAAGGTGGCGCCAGTGTGTTTTCTCGCTGGAGGAGATCCCGAAAGGTTTTCAGTCGCTCGGTCGTGTGAAACAACTGTAAGGGTCAAAGAAATGTTTCTTTTGGCAGAGGAGAGCCGCAGCGCCGCAGACAGACAAGCGGCCCATACCACGAAGGCCTTCGGCGCCGCATTTAATATGATGCGATTACATTGTTGAGATGAAAGACAATGGTGACACGGTCAAAATGGAGCTTGTGGGCGATGGTCAAGGGGGTCGTTGCAGGGTAACGACTGCTGAGGGGTGTCAAACTGGTGTCGATGAGTGGGCATCTTCCTGGATGAGTGGTCCTGTCCAGCCAGTCTCACTAGTGACCGAATTTGTTGGTGTGTGCTTCGAGAGGCTGGCTAAACCCGTTTAAGTGCGTGCCCATGTAGGCAAGCACTCCTGAGAGGTGTTCGCGGGCTTCAGGTCATGATGGGGAGAAGAATTACCTCGAGACATTAAATTTTCCGCCTAATACGGTCACCGATACCTTCTCCGTAAAAGGCCCATGGTATCCCAATCAACTCTGGCGGCCTAGCTACCGTCCGAGCATGACATTCACTGGGCCTTCACTGAGTGCGGATAGTCTCAGCCCTGGGGCTATAAACTCGTCAAACATAAAGTTGGGGCACAAGTTTACAGATTGCACTCATTGGGCTATCACGACGATGACTTCGCGCTTTTGTCACCTGCGTCCAATCGGCGCGCTACGTGAACTTTCGGCTCCAACTTTGTGATTGACGAGTTTAGGGAACCTGGACATTGAAGGGTCAGCGGAACAGGACAACCGGCATTATGTACCTTTCCAGCGCTTATTACCCGTTCAAAAAATGCTGAGCCACTGAGCTGTGGACGCATGTACAGCAGCGTCGGATACCGCACAGCAGAGCTACAGCGGGGGCTCAGAAGGCGTTCGACAGCCCAGCAGACAAAGATAACATCACGCAAAAGGCATTTTTTTGGAAAGGTCTATAGACTGTATTGGAACCATGGTTAAAAGCGCTAAAAAACAGTACACAAGATAGAAGACAGACAAGTAATAAAACCTATCTAAGCCAGACATTAAAATAAAACAAAAAATAAGAGCTAATTCATAGGAGCAAGGGCTTGCATTTTTCGCATAACATTATTTATCGCATCATGTCCATAGCCATATCGTCTCTAAGAGAATTTCACTTAGTAGTCGAGAGAGCGAGAAGTGAGTACGTTAATTTATTTTAGGACCGGATAATTGTTGAATCTGTTAGAAAGCATTGTGACAAACAGGAATATATGAATCAGGCACGCAGCCCCCCCCCCCCCCCCCCCCCCCCCCGGGCCTGAAATCTTCCATTTCGCTGGGGCCTCCTCTCCTCCCTCCCCCTCATACAGCATTTTGTCATGGGTGGGTCTTCCCCGAATTGAAATCCTGGCTACGCGCCTGATATAAATGTTATTTGGAATATGTGAGCATTAAGGATGCCATGTTGTCATAGCAATTGTGGAAAAAAGGAAAGCCTACGGCGGGCATCTTGAGAAGCAAAGTTTAAAATGATCTTTAGTTGGACAGCACTAGTTTAATAATTCCCACCAATGAAGCGGACAACTCCGCTTTAACTTGACTTCAACCTATTGATATGACTGATGAGGGGTTAATATTGTAATGATGTATTCTAGTTTGGATCGGACGAGTGTTGTAGATGTCACTAATTTTATACTTTGTGGTGCTTGGTGAAGATACCGTCGATGTAAACCTAAATTTATGCATGATTTGAAGATCAGGTTATCTATGTGAGCGTTCCAAGTGAGATTTTACAAAAAGTTGACGCCAGGTACTTGAAGGAGGTAACTGATGAGATGAAAACAGAGTTGATAGAGTAGGAAGGAACGCAGTGTTACTACTTCGTTTCAGTTTAAGTCGAGCCTCAGCCGACGCGTCGCGGTAATGATATCAATCAAGCAACGTCAAATGCGCAAGTCACCAGGTCTTTTCTCTTTATGGTTGGTTCAGCGATGATAGGACACCTACAGAAACGTTACGAACACCATAATAGTGTACTTTTGACGCTGTCTGACTGATTTCATCAACTCGTATAGCCACTGGCAGGTTAAAAGTAAGCTAGAAGCTCCCTCCCTCCTCTTCCCACTTTAGCAGAGCGAACGCTGGAGAGGCGGCCACCTCCTCTCCATCTGAAAAGGTACTGGAACAAAGCGAGTTTTGAAAAAAGTCGCGCGTCGAGGATGACGCCACCGGGTGGCGACGTCCTTAAACCGAATTAGTCATTCGACGCGTGCGTGCGTGCGTGTGTGTGTGAGTGTGTGTGCGTGTGTGTGTTCTAATGACCGCGCCAGGAACTTGTTTTATTCAAATTCACGGGACAAAATTGTGCTGGAAGTCCCCGTTAACTCTTCTCTTTCAAGAACCTCTTCAACTTCTTTTTAGGGTGAAACGAAGTATACAGCGGTAATTTAGTCTAGTTGGTTCGTGATAACTTAAGTGAGCGCCTAAAAACACAGGGACAAGAAAGCAGGTAGACAATGGTACGCTCGGAACTAATTTTTATCTGAAAAAAAAAAACTATATATGCTGTGGCGAAACGAACAGTCACGGTGAAACCCCTGTAAAAAAATACCAGATACACTGAGTGCCCAACGGGAGTAGTGTATTAAATACCCTGTCATTATATTGCTGACTTTTGCGTTTGGTGGCCTCACAGGTTAGCGGCCACATCACGCAGGCGTGATTGTTGTGTTTGGTGATGGTCATGTAGTGTAGTTTGTTTGGTATAAATCCCCTTGTCATGCGGTTGTTCTTATATCGGCCAGGTAGGCATGTGCTTGATTGATCGTGCGCGCGAGCATGCCGCGGCCACGCAAGCTGCCCCGTGGGAATGGAAGTCCCTTGATACTTCTTTTTACAAGTGACAGCAACCAATACAAATGACAAAGTAGATTCTGCTAAACAAAATGGTGTCATTCAGTTTCATTTTCCGCCTGGCGCCTCTATTCGCTTCCTAAAACCTGCACAGTCACGCAGTCGGTGTTTCAAAGAATGTTGCTACTTCTAGGAAGCTCTTAGCCAGGAACCTGAGTCAGGACACCGTCCCACGTACTGCAGTCGTTGCCAATGTGCCTTGTCATTTAGCGAGAGCAGGTTTTTGGCTAGGTACCCAAATAAGGTTTCTAGAGAGTTACATGAAGCTTTGGAAATTAAAGCAAAAGGCGATAAGCAAATGAGTGACACGCCGTTGTGTTTGTTTACCGGCAAATTAGTATTATTTCTTGTTATGGAAGTTGCACCGGAATTAGCCGTGACTGTTTATTTTTCCACGACTATATAAATACATGGCAAGTGTTTTTCAAATAAATGTTTGTCGCGAGTCCGCCTGGTCTTTCTACTTTCGTCTCTTTGTGTTTTTTGGAGCTTACCTACTTGAAGGGTTGGCCGGTTGGAGGAAATAAACTTGGTATTACTTATGTTGAATTGTGACATTGCGCATCAAACACTCGCAAGAATCAATGCGGCACTGAGGTTTTATCGTGCCTGGAACACTTTTCAAACTAATGCATGCACCGGACTCTATATTTTTGTTTCCTCAAGCTGTGTGCACCACTGCATTTTCGCGAGACCATGGCGGTGACTCCTAAGTGGTGACAAGGACGTCAGGCACCTTTAAATGTTCACGCCTTTAGAAATCATGTGCCGACACAAGCAGCAGAATGAACATAAAGACGCCATATTTGGTATCCTCGAAATGGGCTTTGTGATTGTTGTGAAAAACTGGGCCAAGAGACATTTATATAAATAGATCGAATGTGACTACACTGCTTAATACCTGTCAGGATAACATTCACAGCCGTTATCGTTAGAGGCCGCTTCCTGAGTGCTTATTGTGATTCTCGTGTGAGCACCTGCGGCGCAATCTATTTTATCCTGAATCGGTACGACTTGCGGTGGTTCATTACTGGAAAACCTGTCCTAGAAAACGTTTCGTCTACGCCATGAACATCTCGGTTCTGAGCACGAGTCTTATCTTGCATCGCTCGTAATATTCACGCGCTGAGCAATTCCCGATTCTTTCGTATATCTGAAGGCGACAAATATGTGATTAGAAAACAAAACTTTGTTTCTGATAACGTACCCGCATCTACTCAATAGACACACCTCGAACAATGCTGATAAACTGGAGCAAAATGGGACGCTGCTATCAGCCCCGAGGTTTGCTTTCTTTGCGTGATTCAAAGCCCATGTTTTGAAGCAGACTTGAAAAACGCCAGTGCCACCTTCTAGCGTCGAACCTGAAAAGGCAAGCTAAACGTGTAGATGCTGAGTCTCCGGCATAGCTGGCGATGCACAACGTGTAACGTCGGCACCTGCTATAGCCTATAAGATTTAATTCTTGTAAGCTGTTAAACGATGCCTGGTCGAGTTGGGCGCAAGTGTAAATCGAACAAACGCAAACAGAACAAGCGCAGAGTACATCGTGATCCTCCCTCGCTTATTTCCTTGCAGGTGAAGACGGTGCAAGTGGTTAAGGCGGACGGTTCCGACGAAGACCTCATCGAGCTGTCGTACATTACTACCAAGGTGATCGGCAAAGGCACTTTCGGCGTGGTTCAGCAGATCAAGCTGGTTGACACGGGGGAGGTGTACGCCGTGAAGTGGGTGCGCCAAGACCGCAAGTTTAAAAATCGCGAACTGCAAATCATGCGCCACCTGTCGCACACAAACATTACGCAACTGCGCTACTTTTTCTGCACGCTGGACAAGAACAAGGACACCGTGTACCTGAACCTCGTTATGGAGTACATTCCGGAGACGGTTCACCGAGTCATCCTGCACTACAGCCGCAACAAGCACACCTTCCCCCTTTTCTTCATCAAGCTCTATATGTACCAGATACTTCGCGGTCTCGCCTACATTCACATGCTCGGCATCTCCCATAGGGACATCAAGCCGCAGAACCTGCTGTGCGACCCGGACAGGTGCATCGTAAAGGTGTGCGACTTCGGGTCCGCCAAGTACATGATCAAGGGCGAGCCCAACGTGGCGTACATCTGCTCCCGGTACTACCGGGCGCCCGAGCTCATACTGGGAGCCACCGAGTACACCACCATGGTCGACGTCTGGTCCGCGGGCTGCGTCCTTGCCGAGTTCTTTATCGCCAGACCCGTATTTCCCGGAGACAGCAATCTGGACCAGTTCTCGGAGATCATGCGCATCCTGGGTACGCCGACCGAGGAGCAGGTCCTCGAGATGAACCCCAACTGGACGGAGTGCCGGTTCCCCAAGCGAAAGGCGGTTGCGTGGGAGAAAGTCCTCGAAGGGAAAGGAACTCCGAGCGCCATCGACCTCACCGTCAGGCTCTTGGACTACGTGCCTGCCAAGCGCATGACGTGCTTCGACGGAATGACCCACGTCTTCTTCGACGACCTACGAAAGCCCGGTATTACGCTGCCGGACGGCGGGCCCCTGCCACAGCTTTTTAACTTCTCCCACGAAGAGCTGCAAGTGAACCCTTCCATCAACCACTTGCTGCGGCCACATTGACCGGGTGATGGTCTGGCATAAGCATGTTCAGAAAGTCCTAGTTATCCGTAAAGTGAGCACCGCTCTCCGTAGGAACCCTCTCCTGGCGAGTGGTAGACACTCAGTGCGTTGGCCTTGCGTGCAGTACTTTATTTGTTTTTATTTTTTCAACCAAATAAGGCCCTTGATGACGTGCTGCTGTGTTTTATCATGCCACATCCGAGAGCTTGTGCGCGTTGCTTTCTAAGGGCCACATACATTGTGGACGCCTTTTGCGGAGGCCAGACCAGTGTAATGTAAAGAACTGGCTTATGGGTGTCGGTGTTGTATTCAGAGGTGCAAAGTTGTGCCGCGAGTCTGGGCGAGCCAGGTAGGGCGTGGCGACTGCGAAGGCGTTCGAATGGGGTAGGAACGATGAACGCGAGCGGGCGGTGAAAACACGACCTCTTTGTGTTAGCACAGTTTTCGGTAGTGCGGCATTTCAGAAATAGGGGAAGAGGGAATGACCTCTAGATTAATTTTATAAACAACGAAATCATTACGGCAGTTATAATAAAATGGATGTTGTGCTCGTGGGCGTTTCGTCGAAATTTCCGGTTTCCTGGTTTTAACGTTTTCTTTTTTGTGTGCGTGGTTTTGAGTGCTTTTTTAAGGGTGGACAAATTATCGATGAACCTCCCAATTAATCGAATAATGCTTTAATGGCGATCATTATATTTTCACCGGTTAATCGTATGGGTTCCGAGGAGAAAGTAAATATATCTGCCTTAATTTCTTCTCAGTGCGAATTTATCTATATTAGAAAGCAGTCATGTTGTGTTCCACGGCGAATGCCAATGATTGTCATCCAAAGTGTTTACATTGTTTGCGTATTGCGGTAAAAATGTTTGATATTTAATTTGTTTGTAAAGGTGCACCGTAACAATTAAAGAAGACTAGAGGTACACTCGTCATTGTTAATACAGCAAGAAATAATAAAAACAATGTGTAGTTCGATGCTTTTTTTTAAGATAATGCAACCGATTAATACATTCAACTAAATAATCGATTAAAAGGCAGCGATAAATTGGGTAAGAACGCTTCATCGAAACTCAACCTATTTTTTTTACGTTTGTTTTGTTCATAGCGATTGCTTCGGATGTGTTATGTCTTAAAAAGGCCGTACTACAATAAGGGACTGGAATGTTTCTCACTTTATAGAAGCTTACAGACAAATCTGCATCCCAGGTCTATTCGTAAGGTATCGTCACTGAAGAACATAGGTCGGCATTTTAAGCTGTCCTCACTCAAACTCACGATCACTATTTTTTCCTCAATCAGAACTCACGCCCACTCACGATCACGATTTATTCAAAATAAGATCATCACCCGGACTCACCCTCACGGCTCAACGCAAAACCAAAACTCACTCGCCGTCATCATCACGGTCGTCACGCTCACAGATCATCACGGTCATCACGCTCACAGGTCATCACGAATCATCAGACTCACAGGTCATCACACTCACAGTTCCTCACGGTCCTCACACTCACAGGTCATCACACTCACAGATCCTCACGGTCCTCATACTCACAGGTCATCACGGTCCTCACGGCACTCACACTCTCAGCTCCTCACGGTCCTCACTGTTACAGGTCATCATGCTCATCACACTCACAGGTCCTCACACTCACAGCTCCTCACGGTCCTCACACTCGCAGGTCCTTGCGGTCCTCACACTCACACAGGTCCTCACGGTCCTCACACAGGTCTTTACGCTCATCACACTCACAGGTCATCACGCTTGCCGGTTGCTTTCTTTGTGCTTTTTTTTTGTTTCTCTCAAGCCTTTGGTTTGTCTTCGCGTGAGTCGTGCGGCGGGGAAACTTCTGAGCCACTAATCCAATTTGAAAGAAATGTACTATGTTAATGTTTATGCTCCGCACATTTCTACCAAATTTCGTAAACCTGGATGAATTACGAAAGAAACTAAATGCAAGCTGACTAAAGTGGGTGCGTTTAACTTTCGCCTGCTGACAAGGGCGGCGGGAAAACAGAAACGCGCCTTCCGACAGGTTACACAGACAATGTCGCAGTGATTAGAACATCGCCTCCCTGTGCATACCTCGCTCATTTGTACACAGATAAACAATTACTACATATATCCCTTCCGTTTCTTTTTTTGTGCCACCCACAGGTACTTCTACGGAAGTTTATGCAGAATGTATATGTAGTAAACATATGGGCATCGACCCATATTTTTTTTTGTGTGTGTGTGTGTGGGGGGGGGGGGGGGGGGGACGGTTATATTAGGTAGGGTGGTTGCACGTGACGACGGTTTGAAATCTCACCATAATCCCTGTTGACAGTGGTGTCTGTCAGTCGTATGCTATTCTATGAACAGAGGCCGCGGTGGCCGAGTTTTCTTCTCACTTGAGTTGCTTCTCATTTTGTTGATCGACCGTGCTTGCCGGAGTGCTGCGATTTAAGGAGAATCATCGGCTGGCATTGTTTTTCAGTCATCTCAACCTTTATAAAATACTGTCAGCATTCATTATCTTGATACATGCAGCCGTCCTTGAATTGATTTCGTTTGGATTGGTTTGACTTCGGCATGACTTTGCTTGGTTTGGTTTGGAGTGGTTTGGGGGTTTGCGGCCGTCCCCATGTGGTTCTTTGTCGCGCTCTCGATCATGTAGGGCGCGCCACTTTTCATGTGGCAACCCGCGTCATTCTTGACACGCAGTTTTATAATGGGCAATCAGTTCGTCGAACAAGGTTTCATAGACAGATTGTTTCATCGACACTGCGATGTTTCATCGGCAGAGCGTTTCTTCAACATTTGTTTCATCGATGTGTCATCCGAAGATCGTGTCTTCGACATTCGATGCTCGACAGAGCTTATTACTCAGCCACCCTATTACTACATTTCGTAGACACTTTTTTTGTTCGTTTTGTTTTACTCGTACGTACGCCTAACGACATTTCTCTTTCTCTCTCTTTCATCGACGCGGCGTTGGCTCCTTGACGTCATGCGTTCTTCGCGTGTTCGCAGCGCACTACGCTGTCCGCTTCGGACAGGGCGCAGGTGGCGCAAGCGCAAATGCTCCTCACTCTTTGTACGCATGCAGTGCAGTGTGTTGTGCGTGGTGTTGGCTGTGCGCTTACGTCGCTTACGTTGCTGGAGTGGTGCGTGCGGCGCGGCGGCCTTTTGCACACGTATGACCGTTTGGCCGCGTGCTCGGCCTGTGTAGCGGATATTGGTTTACGAAAGGAGCGTGCCCTATTCGCGACTCCAGCAAAACGGACGCCGCCAAGCGGGAAAACCGGGAACCAGCCGGTCCAGGTCGCTCCGCGCCCCTCCGCGTCTCTGGTGGCTTTCGCGGAGGCGTGTTGTCGGCGCGGTGGCGAACAATGTAATTTGACGAAGGTCCGAATATTTCTTAAGTTTGCCTGAGTGATCATTAGTGTGGTGAAGCCTCAATAGATTGTTTTCTTCTATTACGTGTTTGAAAGCCCGTTTATTCCACAGCACACGGTCACGTGGTTTCGATTTCTTGGGTGGGGAGGAATCACGGAAAAACTTTTTGATTTCTTGTCTGTCTCGAATCACATTCAAAGTGACGACTGCTTGGTAACTGATACTGGAGGGAACATCAATGTTGCTGTCAAGTGAATGGGAAGGTTCGATAGCTGCTTTTCTTGAGTTTGGTTATGTTCGGTTAGCTTCAAGTTTGAGCCACCCACGCCGGTCGGTGCGTTGGCTATTCATCTTGGCTGCTTTTCGCCGAAAAAGCCTCTGGACCACACTGAAGGAGTTGGGATGATTTCGCAGTTACTTGATTGAGGAAAACTTGCTCGCTGCAAATTATAAATGAGGGAAATTGTCTGTTTTCAAAAGGTGGGAGACAAGTCTCGCAACGTTAGATGCTATCAGGGCATTTTGACCTATCGCGCCTCCAATATTTATATTACGAGGACGTCGAAGCCAGCAGCTATATACGTCTACATTGGTCAGGTTGACCGGCCACAAAAAATACTAATTTTCTCCGTTCAGGATTCGAAGCAAAGTTCAATGCAGAGAGGTTCTGCGTGGATCTTCAATGAAGACTCTCTTCAGTTTGTCTCCGTGCAGCCGGCTATAGAACCATTTGGCTAAATTTAAGTAGTATGTCTCCGACTGTCAAATATACTTCTATTCAGCAGCTCACCTGATAGCTAGTCAACTAAGCTCATAATTCAACCCGAACGATATACCAATATCGCTTTAGTGGGACCCCCATAGTACGTAATATAATACATAACCCGCTCGTCAAAATGACATCTCGATTGCTACTAAAACCTGAACTGACATACGAGTATCAGCTGCTTAGTGGGGCGCCCGCGGGTTAACATGGTCCTTGGCTCAAGAAGCGGTTGCTTAATTTTCGTAATTTTCCTGCAGCCTGTGTTGTTGGCCGAGCAGACGACTGGAGCTGTTTCGTAAACGCGGATACGCACAAAAGCTCGATTCCGCGGACAGATAAGACGCATGGTCGAGGCATGCGAGTTAGCTGAAAAGTTACTGTCTGTGGAACAATTCTATAGTCATCGCCGCTTTTCTTAGATGATCAAAACTGATTAGTATATTACCGTCTCTCCGGAGGCCATAGTTTCGGTTTTCAACGAAACCTCCGAAACGAAAGTTTGACACGAAAAGAACAAAAAAACATCGGCAAAACAAAACTATGCTTTGCAAGTTTATCTGCACCGGCTACACTTAACCGTCTCAGTTCAAATACCTATAAAATTGGGCATTAAACCAAAGAAAATTTGTTAAATTGAATGCGCCACCTGTTCAGGCTGCCCGGCCGAGCCGCCGCGACCTGGACTCAGCCGCCATGTTTGTTTGGTGGTGGCGCCCCCTATAGACCGACACGCGGAGCGGCTCTGTTTACCAACACAGCCGGAAGGCCGCGCATGCGCGGTAGCTATGTGGGCAAAAGCATCCCGGCTCTCCGTGTTTTCGCCATTGCGCTCTATGGCGTGCGCTCGTTGTTGAC